AAATTTTATGTGCAATTTTACTGTTGCCAGCAGCATCCAAAGCATTAATTCAGTTAAGGGCCCTCATCTTTTTTTCCTTTTGCTAAGCTACACAAATCAGTCAGGGGAAAATGAATTTATCCTTTAGCATGTGGTTATTCACCATGTTTGCATATTCACTACGCATGAAGCTTCAGCCACCCAAGTCTCTCATATTGAACCCTTATTGATCCTAACAATTTCAGCAGATTTTCACACCAGTTGAACACGTCTGCCTTGACAAAAACCATGTTTTCCAACCCCTCGATACACATTACAATGAGATTAAATGATACTTCATCAAAATACAAAAAGAAAAAGCCTTCAGATTGCCATCATCCCATTCAACTGGAGTTTTTGTTGCCCCAAAATGGAAGTGGCTGCTGCAGCCTTCCCAAAATAAACATAATTGTTAACTAAACATAGGTGCATTTATCCCAAAGTCAAATGAACATTTTCTTTTGCCTGAAAAATTATTTTTATATTCCTTTTTTCTTCTCTGTATGCTTTCTACCAAAAAGAATGGCTTGACCTGGTTTAGAATGGTTTGAGTGCTGCTGAGTCCAATGAGCAGTTGAGCTGTCTTGCAAGGAAGCTTCACCTCCGTTATTTAAGGCTTGTTTCCTCTTCTGGAGAGTGAAAAGGCAAAAGGGCCCTCAGATTTACTCTGGGGAATGGAGGAGGGGAAAAAAAAAGACAGCCAGCCTAATGAGAGTTACAGAATTATACGTTACTTGTGGATCAAAAGTTTTACATAATATTGGCTATTTTGTATACACAGATTTGAATGTTTCCATTTCTTTGATTTTATTCCCAAGTATTTTTCACACAAACAATGGTGAACTGAAAATATAGCCTTTTAATTTTTTTTTAATTTTTTTTTGGATACTTAGTGCTGTCCAGTTAGCACTAATTCTTACACACTTACCTTTCAGCATTTTGGTAGTCACTTTACATAACAAGACTAAGCTAACGATTAAGTAATAACGCCTTGGAAAACTACAGAGACAGTAGTAATTAGCACTGTATAGCCAGCATTGTCACTTGTGGATTACTGCTCCTATTCAACCAATGAAAAAAAGCCCCAAACTAAACACCGCGTTAACAGTAGCTGTCACTTAATGACCACAAGGTGCATTTGGTGCTCGCAGTACTGCTTCAGGTCTTTAACTGCTCCACCTGGCCACAGCAGAGGAATTTCATGTTAAATACTGTCACCTGGGCATCTGTAGTAGCTACTGATTTTAATACCAAAGTTCCTCTTAACATTTTCACTCCATAGCACAAAGTGAAATCCACACTAAGAGAGTTAGCTTCAGGATGGCTAATACCTCCCATATTACAAGATAAAAAAAAGATACTTACATATGTACAACACCACGTCTGGTAGTTGGGCTTTTTTTTTTTTTTAAGTTGACTCTACAACTGGTGTTCAAAAAAACCCCTCAGACTGGCGAGCTCATTACTTTAATGAATTACTTAGACGTTTGTTACATGAACAGGTATAGCTTCTGCAAACAACACGAGAGCTCTGCAGTGCTTGGCTGCAGGTCAGGTAAGCGATCTACAGCATAAAAAAAAAAAAATACAGCACCAGCACGCGAAGTTGAAAAGTCTACTTCCAAACCATTAAAAAGCTACAAGGACGGAAGCAAGCAAGACGGAAGAAACATAATTGTACTATTTACCCTTCCTATTCCTAAGAAACAAGAGATCCACCTCTGCTCTTCACACAGCTTTGTTCTATCTGGCGACCACTTCAACAGCCGCCTCCAGACCTGCGACAAGGCGCAGCCAGGTCTTCCGAAAAGGGCATGCGGTAAATAACCGCCCGCCAGCCCCGGCGGTGCCTCCTCGCCGGCGGCCGTTGGAAGCGGGAGCCCGCCCGACAGGCCGGTTCAGCTGGAATGTTGTCGGCAGCCTCCTCTCATCCAC